TCATAAACTCCTCTGGCCAAAGTCACCCATGAACTCCATGTTGCCAAATCCAGCCGAAGCTCTCTGATTGCCTTCCCTACTCATCACTTGCTCCCTCTGGTAACTGTTTCTTCACAAATTCCCATAAGTCCATATAGCTCCTTTCAGCCAAGGGAAGTTCCCATAAAGGAACACAGCTCGTGACCATTATCAGCCTACACCAGGCCAGCTAGGGAAAGAGTGCCTCATTCCTGAAGGAGGGATCTGAGCAGTTTCCACTACATGCCTCAAACTCAGCAGGATGAAGACCAAACTAGGTTTTTTTTTTCTCTTTGCTTATTGGGCTTACCCACTCACTAAGCTCAAGGCCAACCAAGAGTGTGACCATTTCCTTTGCAGGAGCTCTATCAGGACAGTGCTGCTCCCACCTTCCGGAGTTCATCTCCCACTGCCCCCACACAAATGGCAGCTACTCTTTGTGTATTCTCCCAGGACTGGTAGTGAAGAATGTAGCTGGTGCTCTCAGAAGGCAATTCATTGATTGAAGTAATCCAGGGCCATGCTGAACCCCAACTGAAAGTTCCCAATTTTATTTTCCATTTCTGTCTAAACATGTTCAGATAATGTATGAGAATAGTGTATAGGTTCTGCAAAGAGATAATATGGCAATGTAAAGTTGCTTCAATAAAAAACATTCTAGTAAAATATTGATGTTTCAAATTTAATTACAATCTTGACCACTGTGAATCTCTCAGGGAGAAATTAAAGTACAAAGATTGGATTCTTTTGTCTGAGTTAAAGTTAGAAGACATTAGAGTCTAAAACTCATCCTTCTCAATTTCTGATTCTGCTCATTCTGAACTAGAGGGGTTCTTGATGCCAGGATAGCACTGTGATTCTTCCAGCAGCTTGGAGAGTGTCTCATTAGAATCACTAGTGTGGCTTTCTTCTGATCTTGGAACGTGAAGTTAAACACCAAGTTTCTGGTATATCTCACTTTTAAGAGTATCATGAAAGCACTAAACACCAACAAAACTAAACAAAAGAAAATGAATCAATTCCAAGATCCTCAGTAGTAAGACAAAATGATGCTCCCAGAGCCCTGCATTTTCCGTAACAGAGACTTAGCGGTATCTTGATTTTGGATTCCCCAGGATACTGCTCCATCTGCATATTACCTGAAATCCTTGATCTCTGAATTTAAACTTGATTGGGAGGAATCCTCCTAACGACATTAATGCATTTTACCATTCCTGGAGAAAGAATCCAGATATTTCTCTCAGGGTGACATTTGAATTCTTGCAAAGCTGATTAATAGGCAATGATGCCAAGCCCAGTTATGCGGTCTGAGTCCTTTCTTTTCCATTCTGTATTTCCCTTGAGCCGTCTCTCTTCAACATCCCCTGATCCAGGGAGTTTGCACTCTAGATAATGACGGCATGGTTTCCATACTCTCCTGTGTGCTTACTTCTCAGTTCTTTGCCATAGTGGCTCCTGCTGTTGCCTTGTGCTTTGGAATTGCCTCGGCTTGTGAAGGTTGGCTTCTAAGAATAGTTTCTCATTCATTCCTTCATGTTTCAGCTGGAAAACATCCTCAGCCTATTCCTGAACTAAAACTGCTATTGATGTTTCTGCAGCTTGAATTCCTAGGTGTATTGGTTGAAATAAGTTTCGGCTATGAATGATAGAAAACCTTAAATAACTGTGGGAAGGTAGAAGCTTATTTCCTTCAAGCCACTGTGTATTTCAGCATTCCAGGGCTGTAGAGTCCTCCATAGTGTCAAGGATCCCAGATTCCTTTGACATTGATATCTCACTATGCATGACTTTGACCTCAATGCCTCACATGCAGTTATCTACATCCTAGGCTACAGGAAGTAGGAAAGGATGAAAAGCAAAGCTGAGGGTGCTTCCAGTATCTTAAGGAAGACTCTTGGAAGCTGTCATATGAGACCTTCTGCTTATGTCTCATTAGCTGCAATTTGGACATATGAGTACCCCAAACTGTAAAAGAATGGCAGTTCAGGATAACTGAACCTGGAATGTAGTTTTCATTTTTGGCAGCTTTACACCCAACCATACTTCATTAATTATTGAAAAGGAGGACGGGTATTGTGGGCAACTGGACTAGATTAGTTGCACTGGGACCTGGTGAGGACAGACACCTCTGCTGAGCCCTCAGCATACCATCATCCCTTGCTTTCGTTCTGTCCAGTTTCCAGCAATACTTCTTTCTGCTCCTTTTCAGCAGTAGTGGATGTGTCCTAGTGCTTGGTTTCTCTTTAGGCCTTTTAGGGAGGAACAGCTGAATTTGTTACAATATAACCTACTTTTTATGTTGATCCCTTTCCTTCCCTAATGTAAACAGGTCTAATGTTAGTTGTAGTTTCTGATTTTTTTTTTTTTTTTTAAACTTTCACTCTTTCCTGGGCCAGACATGTGCTTATATAACATTTGGTTCTAGATTTATCTAATGGGGCCTTCAGTTGTGAAAGATAAGTCTCTAGGTTTTGGTCTGCCAAAAGCAACTATTGTCCAAAAAAAATCTTGGCCACTCTCACTTTCTTAAATAATCTTAACTGGCATGCATTTTCTGATTGTATTAACAGCTAATCTGAGCTTGGATTCCATTTATCACTGTCCTGCCTGGCTCTCTTCTGTTACCTGTCATCTTTTTGCCTTAATTCTTACTTAATTCTAAAAATTTCTCAGGCATGTTTCCTTTGGGGCACAAGAAGCTCTTGTATTCCTTTCTATAATTATAGTGACATCTGGAAATTCATCCAATAATTCCTTGAATTGTTTTGCTTTCGTCTGGTCTTTCCTCTCAACTTGTCCTGACTTTCACTGTCCCAGTCTTTAAAGGGTAGTTCCCAGTTGTTCTTACCAAGAAGTCTCTATGTAGCTTAGAGCGACATAAAGAGTCCTTTGCCAATAGTGGCCTATATTCTTGGTCCCTCTAGGAATCAGTACAGTTCACTGAAATTTTGCTTCCATTCTTGTTAGATTTCTTTGGGTCCAAGTTGCTATTTCTGTCTCCAATAAATAAACCTGAAAATGTCTAGCCACTTAATCAAACAACTGCTAATATGAATTAAACCCTAAATACATCTTTTCTCTTTTATGTGTTGATCTGTTCTTCAATTTCATTTTTCCTTTTATATCTATTTGACTTGTTCTCTATCGACTTTTCCTCCAAAAAAGCTTTCTCCTTCTCAAGTTTAATTATTCTTAGTTTATTATGTTCTCATTCTTCCATTGCTCCTGTCCTAACACTGAAGCACACTCTAAAAACCTCTTCAGACATTCCTTGATGTCCTGAACAAACCTATTTCCTGGAGACAGACTGTTCTAGGCACAGTTTAATTGCCTAGACTAATTGCCCTTTAATCTCTGGTTTTAAAACATTTAACTTAATTGTGTCTTTAACTTAGGTATTTTTTGTTATAATACCGGCTCCTATATCTTTGTTTGCTTAGTTTTCAATAAAAGCCTTCAATGGTGTCTGCAGAGTGGGAGGGTTAGAAATCTAGAGCTGTGGTCAGGGTCTATGTAATTTACAAATCCAGTTAAGTTAGGACCACATGGTGGGAGAAGGTTGACTCTTGAGTCTCTGGATAGGCAATATGACTCCAAGATGAGTTTTGGGGCATCACCTATGCAGGATAGCATTAATAATTGAAAAACAAAGCCTCAGACTCCAGCATTCTGTAGCATACATGCTGCATAAAGAACCCACTGTAGGACCCAGGTACAGTGGCTCACTTGAGGTCAGGAGTTCAAGAACAGCCTGGCAACATGGTGAAATCTCATCTCTATTAAAACTACAAAAATTAGCCAGGCGTGGTGGGGGTGCCTGCAGCCCCAGCTACTCAGGAGGCTGAGGTGGGAGAATCGCTTGAGCCTGGGAGGTGAAGTTTGCAGTGAGCTGAGATGGTGCCGTTGAACTCAAACCTGGGAGATAGAGTGAGACTCCATCTCAAAAAAAAAAAAAAAAAAAAAAAAGAACCCACTGTAAAGAAAGGTCAAAAAGGCCCTCAGGAGGGTGATTAGGCCATGAGGGCAGCCTTCATGGATGGGATTAATGACCTTATAAAAAAGGGTTTGCTCTAATTTCAATGATTTGATGTTCCCTCCAAAATTCCCGTTGAAACTTAATTCCTGTTGCAACAGTATTAAGAAGTGGGGCCTTTAGGAGGGTGATCATGCCAAGAGGGCAGAGCCTTCATCGCTGGGGTTAATGACCTTATAAAAGGGCTGGAGGGAACTAGCTAGGCCCTTTTGTCTTTCCATCCTTTCATCCTATGAGAACACAGCCTTTGTCCCCTCTGGAGAATGCAATATTCAAGGTGTCTTCTTGGAAGCAGAGACTGTGCCCTCACTGGACACTGAACCAAGATCATGGACCTCCCAGCCTCCAGAACTGTGAGAAAAAAATCTAATTGTTTACAGGTTCCCCCAGTCTCAGGTGTTCTGTTATAGCAGCAGAAATGGACAGAGACAATGGATGACAGTGGGACATATTAAATAATATAAAGAAGACACAATCATCTAAATCTAGAAAGTAAGACAAATAATCCAGTTGCTATGACAAATAAGTGGCATTTAAAAAAAAGGGTGAATCGTTATAGATTATAAGACCCTTAAGAACCACACCAACCACTTGGAACCTGATTAAACAAACCAATTGTAAAAAGACGTTTTAAAAAACTTTTAATTTTTTTTTTTTTTTTTTTTGGAGATGGAGTTTCACTCATATTACCCAGGCTGGAGTGCAATGGCGCGATCTCGGCTCACGGCAACCTCCGCCTCCTGGGTTCAGGCAATTCTCCTGCCTCAGCCTCCTGAGTAGCTGGGATTACAGGCACGCACCACCATGTCCAGCTAATTTTTTGTATTTTTTAGTAGAGACGGGGTTTCACCATGTTGACCAGGATGGTCTCGATCTCTTGACCTCGTGATCCACCCGCCTTGGCCTCCCAAAGTGCTGGGATTACAGGCTTGAGCCACTGCGCCCGGCCAAAAACTTTTAATTTTGAAATAATTTCAGACTTTCAGAAAAGTTGCCATAGTACAAAGAATCTCCATATACTTTTTACCTAGATTCCCTAAATGTTAACATCGTGTCATGTTTACTTTACTATTCTCTATATATCCATGTTAGTTTCTTTGGAGTAAATAGCAAACAAAATGTTCCTTTACCTCTAAATACTTCAGTGTATATAAATATTTCCTGAAAACAGACATTCTCATACATAACCACACTACAGTTATCAAAATTTGGAAATTAAGAATACCATAACATTTACTACAGATCTTATTCTAATTTTGCCAACTATCCTGCTAATGTCTTTTGTAGCAAAGGAAAAACTTTTTTTTCTTGGTCCAGCATCCAATCCAGGATCATGCTATGCTATCTTTAGCCACCTTTAATCTGAAATAGTTTTTCAGTCTTTGTTTTTTTATGATCTTAAGATTTTTGAAGAGTAAAGGCCAATTATTTTGTAGAATGTCCTTCAAACTTGGATTTTTTTTTTCCTTTTCTTGAGACAGAGTCTTGCTCTGTTGCCCAGGCTGGAGTGCAGTGGCATGATCTAGGCTCACCACAACCTTTGCCTCCTGGGTTCAAGAGATTTTCGTGTTTCAGCCTCCTGAGTAGCTGGGACTATAGGTGCATGACACCATGCTTGGCTAATCTGTGTATTTTTGGTAGAGACAGGGTTTTGCCATGTTGGCCAGGCTGATTTTAAACTCCTGACATCAGGTGATCCGCCCGCCATGGCTTCCAAAAGTGCTGGGATAACAGGTATGAGCTACCGTGCCCAGCCTCAAAGTTGGATTTGACTGTTTCTTCATTATATACAAGATATGCATTTTTGGTATAAATCTACAAAAGTGATGTTCTGCTGTCCTCAGTGCATCTTATCAGGAGGCACACAATATTTATCAATAATGAAATGGATAATATTGTAAACATACATTTTGAAACAAGTGGGGAAAACTGAAAACAGACAATATTAAGTTAATGTTAATTTTTTTTAGGTGTTATAATGGTATTGTGGTTATGTTTTCAAAAAAGTATTTATCTGTCAGTGATACACACATTTCAGGGAAAAGTGAATTAACTGGCTTGATGTCTATTTCTAGGGAGTCTGGCAACCCTAGGCAGAAAGCAGTAATGATAATACAGTCAGCTCTTGATTGTTCTAATATAATGGCCAATTTGCATATTACCCAGGTCTTTGACCATTTCTTCTTTCTTCTATGGCTTTTCTGTTGGTCACTACATTTACAGCTCTCCCAATACAGTACAAAAAGGATATTCAAATTTTGCAACTTGTTGGATGAATAAGATCCTTGGGGAGGAGACTGAAACTACTGATTGAAAAAATCAGGTTTATAAATAATCTGAACATTTCATTTCTTTGTAATTGGCATATCCTTCTATGGATAATTATGAGTTTAATGAAAGGAGATCACTTAAGATGATCACACAATAAAACTTTACAGCCAAATTACAAAGTCTTCATCTTATTTTCCTACTTCATTTTTTATGTAGTTCTTAGTAAGTGCATTTTTCTACTTTATTTTTTGAAAACAACATTCATTTTTGAAAAGTTTATTTCACGAAGGACTAATCCTTTGCTGATGTTCAAATTTAAATTTTTCTTTCATGTCTGTCTCATAGGAGAAAAACATGAAAAATTGCTTCTGTGGTAGTTTCTTCTAGTTTTTCAAGCACTCTTGTAGTAGCAACTGGTTCAAAATACTGCTTTGTTTCAAAGCATACAGTTTAGATGTATCTTCACTGATGATGGGAACATCTTCATTTTGTTCTTGAGCTGTCAGGTCACTTTCACTGTCAGACAGTGTACACAGGAGAGTGTCATTTTCATAGGTTGGAAAATAATACCTGAAAACAACCACAGATACATAGTATTAAATTACCAAACTAATACTTTGTCCAGGCAGCTGAATGTACACATTCACTGTAATTTTGCTAGGTTTCCTTGCCAACAATTTCATAGCATTTTGCAAAGGCTATATTGGAGACAATTTCTGAGTTGCTTTCACTTTGACTTTTACTGGTTGACATCAATCTTACCAAATCCTTGCCTGCTGGCCTCTTAGCCACTGCTTGATAATCTATCATGATAAGAAACACACTATCGTCAAAGGCAGCCGACCCCAGCAGTGGGTAGCTCTAGTTGGTGGATATACCTCCTCATATGAAGCTAAAAATGACATCTTTCTCATTTCTACTCAAAGAAATGAGAAAGATGTCATTTCTAATTCTTCTTTATAAGTTAACAAAGTTCAAATATAGTGATTTTTTCAAACACAAATTCTTAATACTCGAGAATAGTAAGTTCTCCCTTGTGTTTTGTTTTCCAGCCCAATCATTACTTGTTCCTTCTTTCTAGGTAATCACAAAAGAAAAGATTTATGGACTATAAAGTTTGTTATTCTGGTTCCTTCTTGGAACACCCTTTGGAGTTACTTTTGGAATCCTACTAAGGATTTTAATTTATATAAGAAGTATTATAAGAACAGGGTACCTTCACAAGTATGGGATTTTCTGAAGGAGAAAAACTAGAACATTCTGGTTAAAGTTCTGGGGGACCTGACTTAACAGTGTCTAAGAATAGAAGGAGCTCTGGGCAGCTAGAAACCCACAGCCTCTCATAGGAGTCCTCAACTGAGGTTATCCAGAATGACGTGAGAACCAGTCCAGAAGGTTCTGGCAAAGGATGCTTGGGAACCAGTCCAGAAGGGTCTGGCAAAGGATACTTGGGAATCCAACAACAAATGACCAGCTGCTTAACGTTTTTAAAGTGCCACTATAAAAAATATATATCAAAAGTCCTAGCAGTGTGCAAACTCTGACATGGTAATTTTATTTCTAGGAGCTCAGTTTAATGACATAATTAGATAAGTGTGGTAAAATTTAGACATAGATATTCACTGTATCATTATTCATACTTACATTTATACTTACATTATTTATACTTTACTTATATAGGTTGTAAGTATAACCTGTTTCTAGGGAGTCTGGCAGCCCTAATACTTACAGCCTAGGTATCTAACAGATCAGATTATATCCATACAATGAGATATTTGGCAACCATTGGAAAGGATACAACAGATGGATACTAGCTATAGAAAAATATTTACCATATTTTGTTAACAAAATATAATTTAAAAATCTGCAGCTACTTCACCTCTCTACAAATGTATCTATCTCCACACCACAAATACTGATAAATATTTGGTTTCATTTGTAAGAGGGGAATTATTTTAAAAATAAGCATTTTGACGGCTTTTATGTTTTTCCCCACACTATACTGATGTATACTTTTTATAATAAATATGTATTCCTTTTTTCTGTAAGTTTAAAGAAATTAAATTAAGGGACAACATAAAAGAGTTGGAGCAAAGAAGTGCACATGTGGTTTTGCAGTACGTACTCCAGTTGATCCCACGTCTTTCTATCAGGGAGAAGTGAAGTGTGTTTAGTTTCTTCCATGTGAGTTCTTAAGTCTGCTTTGGATTTGAACTTCACATGACAGCCATAACATCTGCACTGGTGAACTTGCCTCCGAATAAAATTGACCAGTTTCACTTGTTGATAGAAATTTAATCCTGAAAATGACAGAATACAGAATCATTAGACAACTGCTCAGACCCATTCTTTGCACTGTTATAATTTCTTAAAGGAGCCACTTATCTTTATTAACCAACCTGAAGAGGTAGTGCAATTATAAATCATAACATATACCAAATAATAACAGCCCATACTTACAGAGGGCTTATGGGCTAGGCACTATACTAATCATTTTCCATGTATTAATACATTTAATCTTCACAAAACCCTATCAGACAGGTAGTATCATACCTACATTACATATTAGAAAACTGCCTAAGGTCACATAAATAGCTGTCAGCTGCAAAGACCATGTTCTTGACTACTAGGCTAATTACATATACAATGTATATACATGTCTATAAAAGCAGCAAAGTAACACATCCAAGGACCTAGGAGAGCAGTGACTGAGCTGAGATGTGACAAGTGAGCTTTTTACTATCTTGGATCTATTAGCGAGTCAGTACTTTATTCATGTCTTAACGCCCCAAATTCTTCTATTGTTGTGATACTGAGAATGATACAACCGGATATACCTATAACAAACAATCCTAGCTATACTGCCCAACAGTGCAGTAGGTGTTTACCCTATTATTCACTCCTTATAACATTTTTTCTGACCTGAGGCCCAATGTCATATAACCAGTAAGTACTGGAGCTGGAATCTGAACTCTAGTTTGACATAAAAATCCATATACTACTAGCCCCCTCCAATTTATGATATATTATTAACCACTAACATATTTCATTTGAAGTACTTATATATGTAGGAAGAAGGAGTATATGAAATCAAAAACCATATTTGACTATTATGGTTGAGCATCACTGCTTCACAGAGCGTTCTGTCAAGACCATCTATAGAGAGACATATTTTGGTGGTACACTCTCCAATCATAGCTACAGAACATAGGCATAGTTTACAGGTTGGTTTACAAAAAGTGAAGCATCACAGAAAAAAAACTTCTGAATCAAACTTACCAAGTTCTGACTTTACTTTGAGAAGATCAAATTCGTGTGCATCCTAAAAAAAGGAATGAATACATCTGTAAGCATATGAATTATTTAATCTTTGAAGATTAAATAATTAGGCTGAAGTTACAAACAGCTTATTCACAGAAGTTTGAGCAGTTTAGAAACTCAGTCTGAGTTTGGCGTCTTCTGCTTTGGAAGTCTTCTAACTACTTCCTTCCACACCCAACTTCTTTTTAAAGCATAGTCCAAACAAGTCATGTCAATCAGTTAAAATATTATAATTGGGTTGGGTGTGGTGGCTTATGCCTAATTCCAGCATTTTGGGAGACTGAGGCGGCAGATCACCTGGGGCCAGGACTTCAAGACCAGCCTGGCCAACATGACAAAACCTCGTCTCTACTAAAAACACAAAAATTAGCTGGGGATGGTGGTGGGTGCCTATAATCCTGGCTACTCAGAAGGCGGAGGCACGAGAATCGCTCAACCTCAGCAGACAGAGTTTGCAGTGAGCTGAAATCATGTCACTGCACTCCTGCGGGGGTGACACAGTGAGACTCCCTCTCAAACAACAACATTGTAATTGCTCAGAGTTTATATCTATAGTTTTTACAATTTACAATGTATGCACTTTTGCAGCCTTCTAAAAATGTAGAAGTCTATGTATGCATTCTGTTGTGGGATAAAAGTATAGGTAAGATACCTTCTATTGTACTATGCTTTTGGACTAGAATTATGGATATAGGTTTATTGCCCCACAAGCAGATAGGTAATTTTTACAAATTCTGCTTTTCATTTTTTGCTGTCTATAAATACTCTGTTTAAACCTGAAGGTTTCTCATCAGTCATACCTTCCCATACATCATACTTACTTTTGATTTTCACAATGCAGGCTTATTTTTTTTCTTGTTTGACACCTGCAATTGTCTGTCTGTGTAAATGTTTTAACCTACAATCTCACAGAGGATAAAAATCATTTAACTCAATGGGATGGCATTTAGTGTAGCATCATATGCAGGATGATTAGGAATTCGTGATATGTTACCACTGAAAGTGACTAAGCAGAGGTTAAGGACACCTGTCAAGGATGCTGAGAAGGTAATCCCTACATAGGATAGGCATACTAAGGCTGCCTTCAATCCAAAGACATTAAGATATTATGAATTAAATCTAACACAGGAAATTATACACACATACTAGTGGGAACCTGTTTCAGAAAAACTAAAATTGGGGTAAATGCTTATGTTCTTTTGTGCACTTTCTAGGTCCTTATTGTACTAAACTAAGAACAGTATTTTTGAATAAGGATGAGGTGAAAGTGAGTGAAAGTGGAGAATACAGTTCACTATGAGCAGAGGTGGCTGCAGGAGGAAGAGGAAGAAATATCAGAATTGTCCAGTAATATTTTTCTCTTATAATCACCCCTCTGCCCACAAGCTGCAATACTGTCATGAATCATTAGATGTTCACTTTCCCTATCACCCTTGTCGTAGCTAAGGATCAGATGTGTAGTGTGTGTGTCCTCTCTCAGGTCTGCTGAGGTGAAAAAGGTCTAGAACTGCTAGCTCCAAGCTTCACTATAACATAAAAATGGCATCCCGAAGGGAAAGCGCACACTAGAAAGTTCCCTATTTTCTTCTCTCCAAATCCTGGTACCTGAAGGAACTGTAGGATCATGCCCTAGACCCTCTCTACTCACCCTCCTTTTTACCATTCCTCCAGGGGCTTTGTAAATGGCAATGTTCTCCCTTTTTATTCTCCTATTCACCAGCACAAGAAGCACTGGAAAAAAGACTCAGAACCTGTTCCACCTTCCGAGCTAGAATGATCTTGTAAGCATCTAAAGGGTGAGATGGCATCAGTGGTCTGAGAAATCTCACACTAACAGCTCACTCAGGTCGAGTCAACTGTACCAACTAAACTGCCCTGAGCTGTGGTTCTCCCTGACAGCCCTAGTCTGTCTCTTCTGTTTGGAATAATGATTGAAAAACTACAATATAAGCAGATGAGGGTACAGCAATTACCAGCTTTCTCCTGTCAGAATAAAACAAAATTCAAATAAATACAGGTATCTTACCTCCATGTGGACATACAATTTCTCAATTGTTTCTGCTTGCTTTTCACAAAATAAGCAGACAGCAAAGGCAGGGTGTTCTTCCCAGTCAGACCAGTCACTGGATTAAAAAAGAAAAGATGAAATATGGAGATTCCCTTCATTAAGAGAATATACTGCACAGTGACTTGGTATCACTGTCTCCCTCCTAAGAAACCCTGCCAATCTCTTTCAACTCTGACATTTTGGTAAAGACTGTCACATCATATTATGAGTCTCTGATAGAGCTTTTGAAATTCAAAGCAGCACCATGAAATTAATATAAATAGTGAACAGGTGCCACTCCATTTTCTCCTATTTGCCATTCTTCTGGATAGCTATCTCAGTCTAGAGTCAGAGGAATGTTGTCGTGAGACAATGAACTTTAATTTGCAAAGGAGACATATCGGAAAATGTGATGCCCTCTCTCATTAAACACAGCCACCGAGTGCACACGCTGTGAGGTGTGATGCTTGGAAAGTGTTTCTGCACGACACATGGTGTATTTTAAAAAGGCAAACCATATCTCTCTCATGAGGGAAATACTTATCATTTTAAATTGGGCAAGCGTTAAATCTGGTGGAGATAGGGAACTCAAAAAGGATACAGGATCCCTTTTACCACTTTCCCTGCTCCTTGCATTTACTTTTTGAAATACTGTCAAGTTCTTATCATTCCCAAATCAGGAAAACTGATGGTAGGGAAGGGCTGCAGAGATGAGGAACACCCATTGAAACTCAGATGAGAGAATTTCTCATGGCAAGCTCAGAAACGAACAGTGATAAGACTCTCAAGATCAACCTAACCCAATTCACACAGAAGCTTCCCTATTAGAAAACAGGAAACATTTTTCTTAATCCTATCCATCTAGGAGGCAATCGCCATTCCTGGCCCAGGTCATGACTTACTATTTATAACCTTTTGTGTCATTAAAACTTCAACATTCACCCATTAAATATTCCAACTAGTATGTCTTAATGGGAAAGACGTTTTCATTTCAGTCTGGAAGATTCTGTGTGATTCTTTACGCATCAAGAAAATTCAACAAAAGGCAGCTCTCTACCTTTGGGTTTTACTTCACCATTAAAATAATAATAATTCAAAATCCTGAAGAGAAAAAAGGCCAAAAAGCGTTGACTGAAAAGAAGATGAAAAGTAAGGAAACGTTTTAGGTTGAGAAGAACATTTCTCAAGCTTATAATTTCAAGCAAAGAAGCTGTGAATGTTTAAAGTTAGTCATCAATGGCCTGAACACAGAACAGGATTAACTTCAATGCAGTTATATTCTCTATTCCAATGACAGCAACACGGAGAGGTCAAAGATCATATCACTTCAAGGTCTAAGCACCAACTCAGCATGCAAAGCACTTCAGAATGTATTTTTCTCTGAATTGTATATTATTTGTGTGTTCAATTAATAGCTTTAATTTAATTGTAATAACAGTGTCTTGAGGAATTTTTATGTCAAAGTTATTTCAAATTCAAGTTTTTGCCACATTACATGAAGGGATGCATTTTTCTTATTTTTTCATATTTTTTTTCCTATTTTTCCTATTTTTTCTTTTTATAGTCCCTCTTCATAATTTAAACCAAACTAAAGCATTGTTTTCTTACTCATGAAATACTACAATTAATTAGCAGCAATAACAAGTCTTACTCTTCCTGATGGTCCAGCAACTCCCGATCATCTTCCAACTGAACTTCTTCCCATGATTTTCCAAGTTCCTTTGTAGGAAGAACAATAGGATGAGAGAGATTGGGGGAAAGAGAAGGGAGAGAGTAAGTAGAAGTGCGAAAAAAATCAAAGCCAAAAAATAAACAAAAACCACGTTGTTCAAATGGTTTTGAAACAGTACAAATAGGATATACGGACAGTCCACAACTTATAATGGTTTGATTCAACAACTTTTTTGACTTAATGACAGTGCAAAAGCAATACAAAGTTGAAAACTTAATAACATAATTTTTGGAGAAACAGCAATATCCTTTCAATCAAGTTCTTTTCTCTTAAATTTGAACCAGTGTTTCTCAACCCTGAATGTGTATTAGAATCTCTGGGATTCTAATGGCCTTTGTTCATTGTTATATTTCCAGAGACTGGCATACAGTGGGTACTATTACTATAAATTATTTTTTGAGTTGAATTAGAAGGTTGAATTCAACTCGTTAGAACTAAAAAAAAAAAAAAAAAAAAAAAAAATACATTTGAGGTCAATTGAGATTCTACCTCAAAAGGTTTTTTTAAGGTGATTAAATGAGTGAGTTACTGTCTATAAAGAAATAGTACTAGGCTTGAGTAGGTGCTTTAGTACCTATCCAAATCTCTTTTATCCCTTACCATAAGTGGAAAAGTTCACTTTTCTTGGGCTATGTCTGGCAAGCCTAGTCATAGCGTTAGCAAAACTTTATGGAGTGATGAGTAGGAACGATTTATTTTGGCGCAGTCATTTCTTTTGTTTCCCTTGGGCCACTTCTTCCTCTCTTCTTGCCCTGTCTTCTTCCCAGTCTTCCCATTGTGCCATGCAAAAGCAGACAGTGTTGCAACGAGAGATGCAGGAACACCAATGGATATGTTTTTAAGCAGCAAAACTACGGTTAGGATCAAGCCCACCTGACATGCTACAAGCACAGATAGCTTTGTTGGTCAATATCCTTCTTTTGGGAAAACACAACCAAAATTCACTCAATTATGAACCTTTTTTCCTCCAAATAAAGATATTCATTTAGCTAAAAACAAAGAACTATGAGTGCCGCTATGATTCAGGGGAGAAAGAAAATCCATCATTCATCAACTTAATGAGAGGTTTTGAAGCTGTCATTGTCTTATCAGCTAAATGATTCATACATTTAGATACACAGAAATCTATCATAATGTCATTAGAGCTGGTTATAATGTACTCTATAATGTACTCGGACTCTATAATGTACTTCCCAGAGTCATCATGAAGTGTCTGAACCTCATTACAGAACACCAGAAACAGCCTCAACTCTGCCGACAGGATGCTTATTAGGAAGTTTGGTAATGAATTAAATCTTTCATGCCTTACTTGGTTTTTCTGTACTTGGACTTAAGGTCATGCTTTTTTTGCTACAAGCTATTATTGAAGTATGGGCCTTCTGTGATTTGATCATTCTGAATGATAAGGACAAATGTTGCTTATCAATGAATATTTTGAGCCAAAAGTAACAAAAATTAACTTCCACTGTTAAACTTCTAAACTCGAAGCATTATTTTGCAAGTTCCTCAGTGTTTGGTACAATATGTAGAGATTTATCTAGGCCATTCAGCATTAACCACTCATTTCACTTGAGAGGAAAATGAATGCCCATGTTTATTAGTATATTAGGAAATAAGCAATTTGCATGTGACAGTGGCCCAGTTTCCTAGAGTGCTCTGCTTTGGTTACAGTTAAAGATATGACTTATTATAAAAATAAGTCCAAAAAAAAAAAAAAACCACATAACTCTCTAATTAAGACACTGTGCCTGCTAATGAATCATGTCAGGAAAGCAAAGAATGTGAAAAAACAAAGTTTGGAAGGCATATGAGTAAAGATGTTCAAACACCCCCTCAAATCCCTGCATCAGATGGTACATGAACAATAAGAGGGTGGAAAAAAACATGGAAAAGAAAAAAAAAGATCTCCTTCACCCATCACACTTCTGCCTAATACATACTCACTTTACATGTGCTTACAAAAAACTCCATCAAAAACAGAAACAGAAATGTTTGAAGTGTAAATAATTTCACTAGAGAGAAATATAAAAAATGATGAAAAATCAGTTAAAAGCCTACTTTTTTTTTTTATAGTGGCTTTGTGTACTTTAAGAATAAAAATATTTAAATCAAAGAATGATAAAAATCATGGCAAAACCAATTCCCTTTAGGAAAACTCAGGGTTTGAAACATGAGCATCGTAGGAATGTGTAGCTGAAGCCTCGATGATGCTAAGCAGTCTGTTGCTCTCTAAGGCAGGGTTCTCTGAATGTGAAATTAACTGGCACCTTGTCCCTGACTCATCCTCACTACCTGCTGAACTCTTTTGTCTGTAAGAAAATGAAGCAAGAATTTGAAGTAGATAATTCAGACTATGCAAAAGACTTAATGTTTTTGTAAGTCTGTTATATTCAGAAACTGATATAAATTATTAAGCACAGAAATTATCTCACCTAAGAAGGAAAGTGGAACTTGTCAATTTGCTGAGCTCAGAAAGCCAAAAGAAGCCTCTCTGTCCATTGGCTGTCCTGCCTATTACAGTGTATCCTGCCACGGATATCCTGGATGCTCCCATCACTGCTGTGCTGGCAGAGTCTATGGCGTTTGAAGTGGAGGTGCGGAGCTCTGTGTGTGAATGCCTCAATGACTGCACGTATCTGCTACAGGAGAGGTCAAATGCTGACTTTCCATATAACATTACAAAGGGTTCATGGTGGTCAGCCATATTGACTTCTGAACTCTTTGAAAGTAGTGACTCAAATCAGCCTTTCTATCTACAGTATTTTTTCTTTCTCTTTTAGCATCTGGTACCTGGAAGGCACTCAAATGTAGGTAGAATATATGAAGTCAATAAAATTAGATGTATAAACACTGACTACTAATAACAATTCTATCTTTCGCCCACACTCATGTCAGCCTTTTCTCGCAAAGGGATAACAAGAAAATATCTTTCTTCTTCTTCTTTTTTTTTTTATAAATAATATATTGTCATTATTCATTGCTTAAGTAAAATTTTAGAATTTATTCTTCATGTTATTTAATATTCGAGTTCATCATATTAAATATTATTCTTTAATGAGGTCTGAAATAATACTAAAACGATACTGAGAAGACACTGGCCTTTATTTTTCTCTATACTCTGTTAGTATTTGGAACAGTTTTTTACACACTCATTCTATATATTATTATGCTTTTAATTTATGACAATATTCCTTCAACTATTCCTAGAATGTTATCAAGGCTGGTAGCTCTGGTAAGCACCCCTCTAGTTTAGGGCATGTATATACCTTCAGTGAAGCCAACAGTCTTCTTCACTCCTTTTCAAAGGTGTTTACATCATTTTAATAATGCTAAAGCATCATAACACATTTTAGGTTTTCTTTTTTGTTAATCATTCTTACAGCTTTTGATTATTTACCTCAGCAGGAAATTCCACATAGGAATAGGGAATAAAAATAGGGAATAGGAATAGGAATTGGAAGCCTAGGAAGACTAAGATTGTGGAGGACAGCCTTAAAGTGCTGATTAAAGTCAGCTTTACTTTGACCTTGGCTCACTTTTTAGTTTATTACAAAAGAGAACAGGCAAGGGTGGGTGAATAGATCATTATGAACTCATAACTAGTACCTGATCAGAATACCCACCCCAAAGCATAAGATATAGGTACTAGTATTGTCTCAATTGTAAAAATGAAAGAGACTGATACAGAGGATAAGTAACTTGTCCTAGCTATACAACCTTCGAAAACTTACTCAACCTCTCTGTGCCCCACTCTCCTTACCTATAAGAGGCTTAATGATAATACCTGTGTCATAGAAATGTGACTTAAATTCAATAACTTAATATAAACACCTAGTATACTGCCTGCAGATACGTATTCAAATAGCTGCTAGTTAAAAAAAAAAGGACTTCTATTGATAAGACTCTAAAGTTCTAATTTGATTTTCATTTTATATGTTATGAAAGCCCTTACTTTCTCTTGAAACGCTTCTCTTCATCTGTGATCCACACCAAATCAATTCTGTGCCCTGTGTGAATGGTACAATCTAGCATGCTCCTCTAGAGATGGCTGGCCTTGGCAGATGATTTCAGTTTTGACGGCTACCCTACTTGATGCCCAGGAAATGAAGTATCATACCTTTCCAAAAGTGCTGGCAGAATAAGAGTGAGCAAATCCTTTGAAGTCTCCTCTAAAAGGTAAAAACCTCCAGCTATATAATGTTCCTCTAGTCTCAAGCTCTTGAATGTTAGTTTTAAAAGAGCCACAGAAGGAAGAACTATTAAATTGCTCCCATAGCTTGCTGCTGTAGCTGAATATTTCTTAGAGCTAGCACTGAAGTCCACTCCCTATTAGATTGGGCAGGGTCCTGAAGCAGCATTTGCTCTAGGAAGTAACGATCAAGTGATTTCAAGAAAAGACTGACGGGCTCAGAGGGTACATTTGCCTTTAGTGGGTTGTAAAACATTTGTAGAAAACCATAGCAACCTCTTAGAGTCAATCTTCAAACACATGTTAAACTTGCTTCTCAAGGGGAATTTTATTTTAACACTACAAGGATTAGTTAGAACAGACAAAATTCCACCCTAAAGCAGAGATTTCCAAAATAAATCAGGATATGCTTGCATCTATCCAACAGATACAAAGCCTGATTATATTCAATTAGTCTTTTGTGACCAGTGGGTTTAGGTTTTAATTCATTTACATTGAGAGGAAAAAAAATTTTCCATTTGCTTCAGAAAAATGCCCATTCAAAACAGAACTCTCAATTTTTCTTCTAATTCCTTTGGAGAGTTACTTAACTGTGTCTTTTATATGAGTAGTTTCCCTCCTTTGTCATATATATTTTTAAAAACTCAGTAGTTTGAAGGCAGGCCCAGGAAGACTCCCCAGTCATTGTGGTCTATCAAAAATCCCCTCCCATATTTCTAAATGCCTCTCCCCCATCTCCCACTGTCTCCATCTGAATGCTTTTTCTTGAAATCTACAGAGTCCAGCAAATGGCATTGAGTTTTCTGGGCAAGGAGAACTTTCAATGCATTTAAAATCCTTGCCTTGGTAACCTGGTTAGTCTACCCTACAAGCCAAACAAATAAAAGTCTCCTTCCATAGTAAAATGGTTTGGGTTTCTTGAAACTTCCCTTAAAAGAAAGCTGACTGCAGAGAATTATGAAGATACACACTTTTGTAGGGGTGAAAGGGAAAGAGCAAAGAGACTGTTTTTAAAATATTATTTTGCAGAGCAGCTACCATATCCAGTACTCAATGTTTTTTTTTTTTTTTTTTTTTTTTTTTTTTGAGTAGAACATAGAAGTCTCTCTGGCCAAGTGAGGTGGCTCACACCTATAATGCCAGCAGTTTGGGAGGCCAAGGTGGGCAGATCACCAGAGGTCAGGAGTTCGAGACAGGTCTGGCCAACATGGTAAAACCTCGTCTCTACTAAAAATATAAAAATTAGCCAGGTGTGGTGGTGTTCACCTGTAATCCCAGCTACTGGGGAGGCTGAGGCAGGAGAATTGCTTGATTCCAGGAGGCAGAGGTTGTAGTGAGCCGAGATTGTGCCACTGCACTCCAGCCTGGGCGACAGAGCTAGACTCTGTATCAAGAAAAACAGATTAAAAAAAAAAAAAAAAGAGTCTCTGGCCCCAGAATAAAAGGTATTACATAAATGGGGGTACTCAAATGCTGCATTTTGGCAGGGGGGGGTCAAGATGACTATGAGTTGTAGAGACATGACATTTTTACTACATAAACACTGTCAAATAAAAGACAAATCAAATGAAATGTCTTGTACTCTAACCATTTTAAAGCTAATCACCACTTGAATGTATCCCTCAATTACATTTTGACCTTTGCATTAATTACTTATTCAAATATTGTTGGTCCTTAGAGAGATTCTGTTTGCAGTACTGCAATCAAGTTTTAAATTGTGAAAAGAAAGCCTTACCAAATAATTGATTACATAAAATCGATCATATTCTCTGTTCTTAGGATTAATCTTACGATGTTGTTTTTTCCTCATGTGATCTTTAAGTGTATTTTTGTCCCTGAAGGTCTTCTCACAGTACAAGCACTGCAAACTAAAAGAAATACACAAACACTGATAAACAAGTCTCTTGTACAGTTGCTGCAATAATCCTTTATTGAGTTTTGTATTTATTCACTTTAGGTCACACAGAACCTTCAAATGGGATATACCATCCTTGTCAGAATCCCCCCTCACTTTACTCATTTGGCTTTGCAGAGTGCATACTATGGAGTATTTTGTAGTTAGCTAAGTTGGCCAACTTGGCTATTTAGTTACGACTGTGACAAAGATAGGTAATATCCAAAAATTGTTTTGGTCCTTCACTAACTGAATTACCTATTCTAAAGTAAGTATGTAGGTATGTTCTTCAAATAATTATGATGAATTGCACTTACTGCACCCATTGTATATAATAATTCATACATGGTTTAGGATATCTTGTGAGCTGATCTGCAGGGTTTAATTTCTTGCTCCAGTGCCAGCTAGATGTGGGACTTGGTAAAGTTACTTGCCTTCTCTGTTGCCATTTTTTGATTTCTAAACTGAAGATAATATCAACATTTTAGAGATTTTTAAATGAAAATTTCATATATATATATATATATATATATATTTATTTATTTATTGAGCACTTACTGTGCATGATGAACTGTGCTAGGTATTGATTCATGTATATGAATAAGATAAACAGTAGCTGTTACCACCATATAATCCTCATATACCTTCTGCTTGAATATTTCCACTGACTGGGCATTTATTGCTTAATGAGGCAGTGATTACCAGTTTTGAGCAGATTACTAACAAAAGGTCTTCCTCATACTAAGCCTGACAATTGATACAACATGTATTAAAACTGCTACTCAGCAACAAGTAGAGAGTTCTATTTTGTGGAGCCACATGGAGTCTAGTATCTTTTACATGGGAAACTCTCAAATGGTTGCAATCTGTTACTGTTTCAATTTTGAATTTGTTTTTATCTCTACTAAATACCTTTTCATCAATTTTGTATGCCAAAGAATATATTCCAGGGTATAAGAATATCCTTTTGTAGTATATTCTTTTATAGTAGAAAATTTATGAATGATAAGCTGATTATAGATATTCATTATTGCTAATCTTGCTAGAAGACACATCTGGTCTTATTTTATAAATAGTCATTTAACAAAAGGGTGAAGGGACTCAATTTAACATAGTGTTGATATCAGAATTTAAGTTAAGAATTTTTTATAATTAATCTGTATCACTTGCTATGTATGTCTTTTCTTTTAATGTTGTTGCTCTAAATGTTGTGGGTTGAGGCATCACATTTGTTAGTATTTTACTTAAACAACAAAAAAAATGGGGTTCTGAAAGAAAAAATCTTGGACCCTTTCCTAGAAAGAAAAGTGGATGCATTTTTGAAAGTCATTTTCTTGACCTAAAGAATTTTCTTCCTTTTTCAACAGGCTAAGCTCTAGATATGGTTGCCAAGGTAGCTAGAATATGACCTTGAGGAAATAAGAGTATTATATTATATAAAAACATGAATGAAAACCAAAAGACAGAAGAATACAAGCAGTATGCTATGTTTCACACAAAATTAAATACTATACCATCATTTGACAGTATATTTACCTTATTAAATATATAGAGAAGTTACAGTGAAAAGTAAAGGAATTGCAATTCCAAAATTAAGAATAGTGGTTTCTGGGGAAATCTAATAAGGAAAAGCACACAGGGAGATTCAAAGGAATTAACAATGTTCTATTTCGTAGACTAGGCAGTGAGTATATTCTTCATATCCTATATGGTATATGCTGTATGATATGTATATTGTTTGGTGTATATGACATGGTATATTTAAAAAATTTAAAAAACACCAAAAGGCAATATGATTTAGACAAAATAAGGACTGTCGTACAAAATGTGAATTCCTCGGAAATGGGAAATTCCCACTTCTTAATTACTCTGACTATTAAATGTTAAAAAATTCACAACAGAGTCCAAGATTAAAGTAGCTTTAGGCAGTGTTTCATAAATCAGTACCTACTTGTCAAGCTTTTTCTGTAATGTACACAAAAATTCATTGCAGTTTACAATGTTGTCAGGCAATCCAATGTTGAAAGCATGTTCTCTGGCCATGTGGTTCAAAAGAACAGATCTAGGAAGAAATTTGAGCAACTAGGATTATTCACAAATCATCTAAGAACACATCTGGGTTGATAGCATTCACATAATAAAAACGCTAATTAGAGGTATAAGCAAGTACTAAACACTAACACAAACATTTTAGCTATTAAAGAGTAACATTATAAAGTATGTAAGTATACACAGTCACATTAGTTCTGTAAAGGGATGTCAAAGTTTGTTCTACTATCTATCGTTTGGCTACACTCCACAGAAGAATCAGGTTCTGTTCTTTAAACCAGGAGTATCGGTGCATGGCCTGTTAGGAACCAGGCTGCACAGAAAGCGGTGAGAAGCGGGCAAGCGAGCATTACCATCTGCGCTCTGCCTCAGATCAGTGGTGGCATTAGATTCTCAAAGGAATACAAACCCTATTGTAAACTGTGCATGAGAGGGATCTAGGTTGTGCACTCCTTATGAAAATCTAATGCCTGATTATCTGAGGTAAAATACTTTCATTCTGAAACTTGTTCCTGGTGCCCAAAAGGTTGGGGATCACTGCTTTAAACCATTAAATTAATTGTGTTTCTTTTACTTTTCCAACTCATCATGGAGAAGAGTAAGAAGCAACTGCCTAACAGAAATATGACGTGCTATGACCTAAGATCAGAGGCATTTAGCCAGTGTATCACTCGACAGTGACCTGGAACCCACAGTTAATAGGTCTAATTGCATGCAAGGGCTGTGATAACCTGCAAACACAATGACTAACTTCTTGATTAATTTATACAGAAAAGGACAAGTGTAATTATATAACTTTTACATAGCAAAAAAGTATATTTGTATAATATGTTCTACAGAGCCTTTATCACAAATTTAGTTCATAAAATAAAGGTGGCCATTTTGGATATATCTGTATAAGTACCATGGATAGACTGACTATGCATGGTCAGTATAAGTACCATTGATAGAGCATTGATAGACTGATTATGCATAGTGACATATTATGTGGTTTTATCTAGATTATTTAGACACCTACCTGGTCCCCCTAAAAATGTTTTTAGTGTTTTTTTTTTTCCCCTTGAGAAAGTGAAATAAA